GCTTCTACCAATTCGCCGATTTGTGCTGATCTTTTAACTCAATTAAAAGCGCACGCAGCCAAAAAAAAGAAGAGCAGAACAAATATTTCAGGCAACTGCTTGACTAGAGAATACCCTGTAATTGGATGTGCATATGTCCCGAAGTGAATATCATGTAGATCAATATATTTCTACTTTACGCCCTAGCCTTTCAGCCTTTTAGGCTTTCATGTTTAGCCTATAGCAGCAGCTGCTCAACTAGTGTACACCCTGTAATTATATACGACTTAAGCTAGATCACATTCAACTAATATTCTATAGAAATGCTCTAGCTTTTGCCTTGATAACCTTGTTAGCCTGCATGGAGTTGAGTTAAGCCATCCCTTAGTATGATTTACAGGGTATGCGCAAAGCACTTTGCAACTGTGCGTGTGAGAGTGTGTGTGAGTGCGTGTGTGTGTAGGCTGCAAAAAATAGCCAAAAGAAAATGCTGCGCCAGTGCGACGCCGCTGTCGACGTCAGCTGCAGCAGCGACGGCAGCAGCGGCAGCGGCAGCGGCAGAGGTTCTGCGTCATGTGAGTCAGCAACGCATTTGGCAACACCAAGGCGAATTTATAGTTGGCTAAAACGAATGACCAACAAGACAAGACACTGAGAGAGAGAGAGAGAGCGACAGAGAGGGAGAGCGGCAGAGAGGGAGGGAGCGCGACGTACAGTGGGGCCACGTGTTGTTGGCAGCCAGCGCAATGTTTATTAGAAGTTGAAATGCCTGTCGCTGCCTTTTGACTGTAATTAGCACATTGTGCGAAGATTCATCTCTTGCTTGTTGCAGCATCGCAGCCAGAGAGTGGCAGAGGGCTGGGGGGCAGGGGCAGCGCGGTAGCCAGCCGAGGCAGACATATGCCACACATGCTACCAAAACTGTCGCCAAGGGCCAAAAGCAAACAACAACAAATAAGAAGAAAAGAATAGAAATGAAAAAAAAAGAATCAAAGATATTTCCACATGAGAATCTTCTTGTAGGTAAAATGAGGAAAATAAAAGGAAAACAAAATGGATGTTAGATAAAGAAAGCCCTAAGTTCTGAGACTGCAAGTCCAGTTAGCAAATCCAATTGGATAGTTTAGTCTTAGATAAATTTAATAGGAACTCTGTAAAGCCCTAATCAAGTTTAGCTCAGCTAAGCCTAAATTAAGTCCTTGGAATAAGCTTAGTCAAAACTTTAAGCCATCAGAACAGTGAGAGGGGTATAGAGGGAAAGAAAGAGAGAGAGAGAGAGAGAGACAGAGAGAGAGAGAGAGAGAGAGAGATAGACAGAGATAGACAGAGCTACCCAGCTGGAATCATGGAAAATTCAATAAATTTTTCGCATATTACTTTTGCTGCACTTTAGTGTTGTTGTTGTTGTTGTTGTTATTCCTCCTCTTCTTCTTGCTATTGCTTGCCTGTGTGTCAATGCACTGCCAAACAGCAACAGCAACAACAACAACAACAACAACACAAAATTATTTCTAGACATTTCGTCTTAAATTCAAATTAAAAATAACAAATATATATAGGATACAAGTATTAATTTATATATATATTTATGTATGTATGTATGTGTGTATATGTGTGTGTGTCCAATGCACTTGTTGTTGCTGTTGTTGTTAATGTTAAGTGCCGCCCACGCTGCGTACAAACACAATAAAAAGAAGAATAATAATTATTTCTTTTATTTCTTTTTTGTTGTTGTTTTGCGCAAATTTCAACATTCTTTTTTTTTGTTGTTGTTGCACGCTTCGGCTGCTAGAAACTTGTGCATCTATGAATGAATTTGGCGTACATAATAAATAGTCTGGAACAGCAAAAAAAAAAAAAAATGTGGCCCAAAAACATGTTTGCGCCCATTAATCAAATGTCTAGACAAATTGCAACAACAATTGCACACACACACACACACGCTTACAGTAAACAAATGCCGATGAGCTGTTTCTTGCTGCGGAAATGAGGGGCGGAACGGCAGCAACAGCAACAGGAAGAACAACAGTTAATCAAAGCAGCCCATTGTGCCTGGCAACATTAGCAGTGAGCAGCGGAAGTGGCAGCAGCAACATTGCTGCTGCAGTCAGAGAACGGCGAATCTATTTTTAGGCAACAATTTCAGACGCGCCTGTTGCTAAGCTGTTGCCAACAGCAAAGCTGACCCGATACACACACAGCACACAGCATGTTGCTGAGCTGTGGCAACATTTGTTGCTAAGCTCGAGCCGGGCTGCAGACAAACACGGTCAACATAAATTGTTGCTATGCAATGCAGAGGCAAACGGTTAAAGCTTGTTGCTAAGGCAACATAAATTGTTGCTATGCAATGCTGCTAAGCGATGTTGATAAGGCTTGACATTGTTGCTGTTGCTGACTTGCTGGCGTGGCAGCATTTTAAGGCTGCGCTGCGCCGCCAGCACATGATCGATCTGTGGCCTATGCATACATATGTATGTATGTATATATAAATAAATGTATACATATAATTTATTTACAATTTTTGCGAGAAGAAATGTGAAATCAAGCGCAAAAATTGCCGAGCGCCAATTAACGTAAATTTCAATTATATTGTCGGCGCGGGACCAAAAATAAATGAAATTTTCAAATTGCACAAGGAATGACAACAAGAAAACTGACTAAAATGGGCATGAATATACGAATATATGTATATACATAGACAAATGCACACATATATATACATATATATGACTAGTTTGTTGCCAATACACATGACATATGGCTGGCTTCAAGTGCAGCCTGAGCTTGGCAACATATTTAGCCGCATGCTGCTGCCTTTTGTTGCTCAACAATGTTTGGACTCGAGCTGAAAACCAAAGTCAACTTGTTTAAGCTACAATTTGACATACAAACATACATACATATGTGTGTGCGTGTGTGTCTGTCTGTGTTTTTTGTCTTCTATGATTATTTTTCTATTGTTTGGCTATTTTATTTACTTATTTATTTGTGTGTGTGTGTGTGTTTTTTTTTTGTATTTTGCTTGCATTTCAATTTTATGTTTCTTTATTTTCGCACGCAAATAAAGCTGGCGCCAAATGAAAAATAAAACAAACAACTACAACAACAGCAACAGCAGAGAGTAGAAACAGCAGCAGAAGCAGAGAATTATAATAAGGCCGCGCACACTTGATAAACGTCGCGCGTCGTTAGCGCCACTTATCACGTATACGCCATGTCGGGCAATGCCGCCTCAGCTTGTTTTCAATTTGTTGCTGATGATGTTGTTGTTGTTGCTGTTCGATTACTCTACTACTCTGATTGTTCTCACATACCCTGCCCAGACGTAGCAGCTGGGCATATCAGCTGGAAAATGTTGACTAAAAAAGCCATAAAAAAAGTTAACTCTTCAGCTAAATATCTCCAATGTCTCTGCTGTCCCATATATCAGTCACAGTTTGAAAGTCACTCGCTGAGAAACTTCTCTGGAATGTGGAGTGACTTATAGGGTATCCTTATAGTCGTTGCGCTACCTGTGAGCTTGGGGCGGGGTGGGCGTCGTGCCTTTAACTAGTTATTGTATTTGGCTAATTAGGTGCTTGTCACTGCTTTTGATTCAAGACCAAATCGCTGTTCGATGTGATAAGCTAACATAGAGAAAAGCAAAGTTCAGAATGAGAGGGAGAGAGAGAGAGAGAGAGAGAAAAAGAAAGAGAGATAGTAGCGCAACAGCTGCAGTCCAAAAATCATGATCTTATTATATTTTTATTGCTCTATTTACTCGTATTCCCAGCCGAGAAATACCCTGCAAAAATACCCTGTAAAAAAATACACTATCAGTCAAATGCCCACTGCTTGGCAACAGCTAGGGTATCTACTAGTCGTGTGCTTCTATTGTATTAGCATTGAGCAACCTCCCAGATACCTAGGGTATCTGCTAGTGCTGCTATTTCTGCTATTTGCTATTCAGCTAGGGTATCTACAAGTCCATCATTCTTAATCGAATTGTAGCTTATCTAGGGTATCTGCTAGTCGTATACCTGCAGTTGTATTTGCTTGAGTTTTTTACTTATTTTTTGGCTACTATTTTTTTCTTTTTTTGGTTTTTTTTTTGCTATTTTTATGGGTTGTTTGGCGGCATCGTTCGATGTGTGGCGCCAAAGAGTTTAAAGTTTTAGCATTTGTAATTTAGCCTTTTTTCCCCATGCTTATTTATTTATCGGCCTTTTTGTTGTTGCTATTTCGTGGCTGTGGCTCTGTGGGTAATTAAAATATATTAATAATTAAACGTGCTGCGCAGGCCGATTTGCATAACGATTTTAGTGGCTCGGCCAATTAACAGCAACAACAACAACAACAAACAGAGGGAAAAAAGCCGCTAAAGAAAAAATTTTGACACTTGTTGGCGCCAGTTGCAGCTGAAAAAGATCTAAACAAAAAGTCTTAGCTTGGCAACAGTTATTGCCTCTTTTAGCTACTTTTTTAGCCTTTATCAGCAGAATTGTTTTAGCTTTTATTTTGGCTTGCGCTGCATAATGGCTAAATGCAACTTTCCATTGAGCTCTGTTGGCCTTTTTTGTGTATAGCTGCTTGTATTTAGCCGCTTTTGGCATTTCTTTGTAGCTTTTTTCCCGCTACTTTGTGCATTTGATGATTGGGAACGTTTGCCGGAAGCGCCGCCAATGCTGGCGCCAGGCGACATCATTTGCCCCGGCCACGCCCCCTCGCCCACAATCCTGGCACTCGGGCTATATATAGGCTATAGACAGAGCGCAAAGGCATTGACTAATTTCAAATATGGGCAAATGCAATTAGCTGGCGCCACAAATGCCGCAGCCAAATCGACAGAGCCAAAATAACTATCTCTCTCTCTCTCTCCCTCTCTCTATATATATATAAATAAATATATAATATATACATTTATATATATATATATTTCTAGAATCTATTTGCCATATTTATAGGCTATAAAATTTCTTATAGCAAATTGCATTTTCATAATTTTTCCATTTCTCACGCTTTTACGTTTCTCGTTTCAGTCACGGAATGCCAGTTCGGCAAGGTTCTACGCGAATTGGGCTCCACCTGGTATGCGGATCTGGGACCACCATTTGGCGTCATGTATTGCATCAAATGTGAATGCGTTGCGGTAAGTACTATTCACAATTTACTCGAAAAGTATAAAATTTAAATCCGATTTAAGCTTGAGGCACGGAAAGAGTAGAAAGAACAGTCTATAGAGAATACAAAGTAGCTTTAAACTTGACAGGGCACATAATTTCATAATTTCATGAGCTTTAGGCTTCAAAGCTTCTATTAAGCAGCTTTCAGCTCAGTAGAGGATCTTTATCTGTTAGCTTTCAGCTGCTTTGCAGCTTTTACTTATCTATTTGCTCGTTCACATTATCTCTCTAATTAGGATTCGTCTTTCAATTAGTGCAAAATGCACTAGACGAACGCTGTAGATAAAGATAATTCTGTTTTTCTTTGCATTTTGGGGCCATGTGGCCAAACAAATTGAGGCAAGTCAGCTATAGGCGGCCAACTAATTGACTAATGAGCGTCGACATTTGCTACAAGCAACAACAAACAAACAACAACAAAGTTTGCCAAAAACAAAAAATCTATATATATATAAATAATGGCAAAGATAGAAAAATGAAAAAAGATAAAGAAAAATATATTCTGACTTGGGTTAAGAAGAGTATAGTAGTTGTGGTCGCATGCAGCATAATTTATGGGATTTGAGCGCATGATTAATATTGATTTGAAAGTCGGTACAAGCAGCGCAATACCTACGCATATATATTATATAGATATGTATAAATAAATATATCCTATATATATATATGTATATATAGATATAGATATACCCCTCTCTCTGAGGCGTTGCCAAAACTTGATACAACAAATTTCACATTGCGTTCGCTTTGCTCTTTCGATGTTGTTGATTGAATTACGCAAAAAGAATTTTTGCATTGAACGAAATGCAAAATACAAAAGGAGGCGAGGGGGGCTGCTCAGCAGAGGCAGCGGCTGAGGCTGAGCTGGGGATAGAGTTTTGCTTAGAAGCAGCTCTGGTCCAGGCGACACATTAAAAACACAATCAAAAGAACAATCGCAGCTTCAATTTTGTATAAAGACTATATAAACGAATGTATATAAATATATGCATATAGAAATGAAGATCTTATGATATATTCATACACTTATATTCCAAAGAAATCAATCGAATCCAAGCTACTTTCATTTCCTCAGCTTCAGCACAATTAAAGCTAAACCTCTCTCAGACTTCTTCCCTTAGCTGGCGTACTACGGCTCTAACATGAACTAGTTAAGTATCAAGAGAACTAGTTCACTTGCCTCTGCAATTTCTTGTCCTATCAACACAATTTCTAGCTTTGCTACCTTCAGGAACTAGTTCACTTTCTTATATTATAGATCTCCAGCCGTAATGCTTGAGTGAACTAGTTCCAAACGAAAGCAGCTAGTTCGCAAGCCCAGCAAAGCTTTTCCCATTTCAGTGTCTGGCCTCTCATTGGCTAATTGCAATTATCTCACCTGCTTAGTTCTCACTCCCAGACAGGCTAGATAAGGAGGTCGCGGGGCGTTATCTGTTCCCTTTTCAAGTAATTGAAATTTTTTATGAAGCCGTATATTTTGTCGTGTTTTTGGTGGTATTCATCGTGTTCATCGTCTTTTAGTGAACTGTGTGTATTAATTAATTATAATTTATGTGGCTGCAAGCGTTATAAACGAGCCAGATCATAAAATAATTCCTACTGACTGCTTCTGTAAGAACTCTGGGATGGCGTCCATTAAAAGCAACAACGTTGTGTCTCGTCCCCATAAAAATCAACAAGAAATTCATATAAACATCAAAAGATGACAAAAAAAAAAAAAAAAAATTAAATGAAATGACAAAAAAAAAAAAAAAGAGAACTCTCATCAGATTCGCGCAGATCAAAAATGAATTAATAAAAAGTCGGGGACAACAAAATGGAAAAAAATAAACATGGGAATTATAAATATATTCAGATATTTATATTAAGAAAATCGCAGCTTGATTTAGTTCTAATTTTAAGGCAGGCGACGCGACAGTGCGAAAGAGATGGCACTGCAGCATGATGCAATGCCAGGGAAGACTAAGCAAATACCCTGTACAGCAGGTGTCTATGGAAGTATTTGTCTTTGGTCACTCGCAATCGAATTGAGAGTCGGGAGCATAGTGAAGTCCGCTAGCTGCTCGGGCAGCTGAGTTCCTTCAGTTAGCTGGGGATCGGGTAATCTATTTTATATAGCTAAAGATTCTTATGCTCGCTCAGTGTACCCTAATTACAGGGTATTTGATGGGGAGAGAGCGAGCGAGCGAGAGAGTGATGAAAATTAAAATGAAAAGCAATCATAATAAAGAAGAGACAAGCGACTTTGAGTCAGTTTTCAGCTATGCGAATGGCAGCGCTAATTAATTTTGTGGCTACAAAAATTATATAAAAAGTAAATAAAAAAATAAATAAAATACACAATAATGGCACAAACCAGACAGAAGTGACACATTGCCCATCCACTCAGCATAACTAATGAGCTACAATCGGAGAGCGCAAGCAACGAGACAGAAAATCAAAGCAAATACATGGAGTTTATTTCAATATTCTCCAGTAGAGAATTAACATTAGAGTATGACGGAGTCAGGGAGAGAAAGTGGGCGAGTGAGGGGGAGAGAGCTAGTCATATCCTTAAGAGTTCGTTAGGATTCAAAAGTATTATAATCCAACTTGGATTACTTTACTAAATTTCTTAAAAAGTGCCGCATTATCTTATGTAATATCATAGAAAACTTTTGACTTTTATAAAATTTCATCTCAGTCTACCTAATATAATCTATATTTTCCTTTGGGTCAATGTAATATATTTCTGAACTGCCCTTTCTAAGACTTCATAAGATTATATAACAGAATACTTAGAGCCATAAAAAGTATTATCTATAAATGAAAATATTAACTATAGATATAATGCTAGATATAACTGCAATATTTTATATTGATCTATACCAAAGTTTTTCATTCAGCCATCAATTATAATCCCAACTCTCTCAATCTTCACATTTCAGATACCCAAGAAGCGTCGCATTGTTGCACGCGTTCAGTGTCGCAATATCAAGAACGAATGTCCGCCGGCTAAATGCGATGATCCCATCTCATTGCCTGGCAAATGCTGCAAGACCTGTCCAGGCGATCGTAACGGTAAGTTGTACAATAAAGCTTTTCATAGATATCATATCATCTAGATGGCATAGAAACCAGACTATGCGTAATTCAAACAAAATCATGCCAAGCAAATGAGTCATAGAGCGCAGGGAGCGCTGCCACAAACACTATATATAGAGTGAGAGTGAGAGGGAGAGGGAGATAGATAGAGAGCTATAAAGATCTATATATACATATCGTTATATATGTATATCCATCTATAAATCTGCAAAATATCTCAATATTTTGACACATGCAATTGTTTGTTACGCATAATAAAAAAGGCGAAAAGACATCGAGATGAATATTGAATCGGATTATGTGTTGTCTCCGAGACATATAAAATGCTGACTATACAAATATATATGGGTATATATAGCACATCTATAGATCATATATCTATGAATAATTAAGCGTAGCAGCAAACGCAGCTGTACAACACTTTTCAACGCGACGTAGACCATAAAAACGAGCGAAGAAGAGCAAAAAAAAAAATATAGCCAAATACTATATAGACCAATATAATATAATATAATATATGCATATATTTATATAGTATATACAGACAGATACATGGATAGAGACATATGTAGTGGAATAGTTCGAAACGCGTAAATTGTTTATGAAAAATTACTTGGCCCGAATTGAAGGTCAGCGCTACGCAATTTATAATTCTTTTTTATGCCATTTGGTTCGCTCTGTTGTCGCCCCAATATCGCATACTATATATAATATATATATACATATAGTCTTATATACAACATCATATTCCAATCTATACTTAGTACACACACACACACACACACACGCACACCAACACGCACATGATGTATGTTATATCCATTTTGTTTTTTTGTTTTTTTTTTTTTGGGACCATCTCTGCATTTATTTATTGTTGCTTTCGACTTTTGCATGTTGTTCGATGTTCTTCAATGTTTTTTCTTGAGTTTGTTTTTTTTTTTTCACAATTTATTTTATATCAGCCTCCACTTGTCTAGAGAGCGGGCTGGGGGTGTATATCATGCGACAAGACCATGGGGAATATATGGCTATGAACATTTTTGCCATGTCTTCACATGGGGGAGGGAGGCGGCGGCGCCAGGCGTTGGCCAGGGTGTTGGGGCATAGCTGGAAATTGGGCTACGTTTCACATTTGTTTTCTTCTTTTTTTTTTTTTTTTTTTTTGTTGTTGAGGGGGTCTGAGTATTCGCTGGGGACACACACGTGCCACATTAAACCGAACGGATTCCAATGATGCCTGATCATTCAAGTCAACAGCATATTAAAAGCGAACAGGGAGAGGGGGCGATAGAGGGAGACGCATAGCTAAAGCATGAAATAAGCAGCTCCATAGAGTTGAACGGGGGGCAAATAGCCGAAAGGCTAGAGTAAACTCTAATAAAGGCTCCAGCGGCAGCGATCCGGCAACCCTGTCTTCAGATCTAGCAGCCTTTGTTATGTCTAGTTTAGTAGCGAAAGAAAACCCAAAGCAAATGATGGCAACATCTCAATTTCATATATCATATTCAGAGCTTTTAGCCAGGTGGCAACATTGTCTGTATAATATATTCAACTACAGCTTAACACAGTGGCAACATCCGAAGTCTTATCTTAACTATATAACTTCCCTTCGGGGCATCCTTGAAGTTACTCTTGCAGCCATCTGGCAACGCTGCCGGAACTTGACTTTCAAATGCTGAAGAATTTGTTTTGCCTCTTTGGAGTTTTTTTTGCCAACTCCCCAGTGGCCTTAAAGCTTAAGCATGCTTATGGGCATGCAGCACACACACACACACATGCATACTCCTACACACACACGCACCATATAAACAGCGACTGAATCAGAAGGCATTTCTTTGGCTTTTGCTAATTTTCTGCATGAATTGAATTCATAATTAGAAAAACTTATGAGGAAAGTTGCGTTGTGTGCGAGAGAGAGAGAGAGAGAGTGTGTGTGTGTGTGTGTGTGTGTGTGACATTTTTCACATAATCAAGCCAAGTGCTGTGGCTGAATTCCAGTCTCCCAGTTGCTGCCGCTGTGTGGCATGGAAACTGGTTGCAACTGTTGTTGTTGTTGCTGCTGCTGCTGCTGCTGCTGCTGCTAGTTGCTGCAAGTTGCTGCTGCCAGTTGCTGCAGCACATCATTAGTTTCCGTTTTGCGGCAATTTTTCATTTGCTTATGCAAAGCCGTTGACCTTTGGCGCGTTGCCGTCGGTTGACGAGAAAGATTTCACTTTTATATGCCGGAGCAGCAAAGCTGGCGGAGGGAAAGAGATGGCTAGATGGCTAGCTGGCCAGATGGCTGGGCAGGAGGGCGGTAGGGCGTTAGGGCGAGAGCGGGCTGCTAGGCAAACGGGCGGCGGGGGGCGTGTCTGAGGTTATGCTGCACAGAGTTGGCTTAAATTGCTGCCACGTCAAATTGCAACAGCAACTGTTGCTGCTGCTGCTGCTGCTGCTGCTGCTGCTGCCTGTTTGGCTACGTTGGCAACTCGTTTGCCATAAATAGTTAGAAGGCACGGGCGCGGCCCCAACTTGGCTCGCTGCTTGCCACATGCTGCATGAACACCCCTCCCCCCCACACACACACACACACATACACACCCCTCTCCGCCAGCCAGGCAACGCTCACGCAGCTATTGTAAAAATATTTAACAACAACAACTTGCAGCAGCAGCAGCCGCAGCAGCAGCAGCAGCAGGCTTTGCTTTTGATTTACCAAAGTTATTTTATATATATATATATATATTTTTTTTTTTTTTTTTTCGCCTAACTTGGTCTAGCCCGCTTTTGTCCAGGTATATATACACGTGTATGTGTGTGTGTGTGTGTGTGCTTATATGTATAGCAGCTGCTTTGGCCAAGTTTAGTTGCAGTTGCGCTGCATCTGCCACAAAATGCTGTTGCCCATTTTTGGTCGCCGCTGCCCGCAGGCCTCAAATAGAGCTTGAGCCAAGCCCGATGCTTGATCGTTTCACTGCCGTTGCTGCTGCTGCTTCTACTTCTCATTCTTCCACTTCTTCGTCGTCGTTGCCTTTGTCATTTTCTCTTGCGCATTCCACGCGCATTAATTTATGCATTTTTTCGTTATTTTTATAATGACATAACTCGAGCATTTTAACGCTTATTAAATTATCTCATTTGCCACAGCGGGCGATCGAGAGTGACAAGGACTGTGTGTGTGTGTGTGATAGAGAGAGAGAGAGCGCACGTCATGTCCATGTCCATGTTATGGTCACATTTAACCAGGTAGACACAATAAAAGTTAATGCCAAATGCCTTTTTCAACGTCAATCGTTGCCTTCTGAGATCGTTGCGATCGATCGTTTGGCATCGAACTCGGCGATAAGGCCAACTGCCAACTGTTCACATCTTCAAAACTCTAGCTCCCCTCTCTCTCTCTCTCTCTCTCTCTCTCTGTGTGTCCATCTCCTTCTCCTTTGCAGCGTCCATTAGTAGCTGACAATTCAAGTTGATGACATCTTTTGTGGTTGCGCGTTTCCTTTTTCAGTGCATTTTATGGCTAAACCCGAAACGAACCCAAAATCGAGCCCAACTTCAACTTTGTAGACAGGACACACATACACACACACACGATATTGATCTCTCCATGTGTGTGCCGGGGCTAATAAAATTTTCAACTTTATCTTTATCGCAATAAGGCATCGAAAAAAAGAAAACGGAACTGTCTATTAAAAAAAATACAAACGAAACGCTGCTGCACGAGATCCCATTTAGATTGAGCGAGATATGTGTGTGTGTGTGTATGTGTGTGTACGTGCTTTGACATTTGGGTTAAACAGGATCACTTAATTTATAGCCTAGGCGCTTGCCTCCCGAATGTCTCTGCTAAGCTGCTTTCATCAAGCTCAAAAGCTCTCTCTCTCTCTCTCCCTCTCTCACTCGCTATGAAGAAGGCTTTGTCTAGTCTTGGGTTTCCATACTGCAAGCTCCTTTGCAGAGCTTTTGCTATTATTCCTATAAATCTTTGGATCTAGTAGGGAAAATGAGCTTTGACTACGATATAAGATGAGCTCCGTTCTCTCTCACTCTCTTTATATCTCTCCCCCTCTCCATCTTTCCATCACTCTATCTATATCTCTCTCTCTTTCTCTCTTCATCTCTCTGTCTGTCTCTCTACCTCTCTTCTCATCTCTCTCTCTCTCTCTCTCTACTAGTCAAAGGTCTCAAAGGTCCTTTGCCTTCACTTATATCCCTCTCTCCCTCTTTCCATCACCCTATCTTTATCTCTCTCTGTTTCTCTCTTCATGTCTCTGTCTCTCTCTCTCTCTCTCTCTCTCTCTCTTTCTCTCTCTCTCTCTC